CTGCTGGGGTTAAACCACGACAGCCCTAAGTGGGAAAGCAAACTGAAAAACAATCAACCATCTCCATTCCATGTGTTTGCCTTAGGATTAGCTCAGTGTTACTGAGGTAGGCCTAGGAACTACTACTTAACTTTATGAGTTATCTAAAAATGACTGAGTAGAACTAGGTGGGAGTGCTTTTATTTCAAAGAAGTACTTGAAAATCTACTTTCACTGGGTGAAAGTTGGCATAACTGGCATCAGCATGAATTTTTCCCTGTGCTGATAAAAACAGAGCCAGGATTTCACCTAATGACTTTAACTCAAAGAGATATGCAAATCTAGATCTATGTATTGAGAGCATTATGAAAAAAGAACACAATAGCAGCCTGATTATACTATTCTACACTCCCAGATTTAATCTATGATTTATCTTGGCAGTAGGGGAAAGCAAGCCTTTGATGCTTTGAGATTTAAATTATTTCCTTGGAGTCATCTAGGAGAGCTCTTACTGGAAGGAGAGTATACTAGAAGGACTGTTGATCTCTTCCAGCCTATCAGATGTTCTGTTGCAGCAGCAATTGCCTCATATAACTGCATAAAATGATGTTTCATTTTGCTACCAGTCCTCATGCTCCTAATGATATTCTGTTCCAAGGCAGAGCTTATAAAGGCACACAGGCAGAAAAGAGTTGACTGGATACATGTGCCTGAGCTGGCAGAATTAGAGAGGAAAGGGGTCGTTGTGCAGAGAAACTACCACAATTATTAAACTGCACCATAGTACTTCCCAGCTGCTGATCCTGCACTTCTCAATACTGAGCCTCACTTGCAGTGATTTTTGTCAGCATATAGTACGGGAGACTAAGGTAACAAAATTATCTGAAACTGGAATTGAGTCAAGCTTTTATTATTTTTATTGAGTAAAGCTTTTATTATACATGAAATACCCATCAGGCAATTAAACAGTGTTGTATAAATGGTGTCTTCACGCAATATTGTTATTTAACCTAGAAAACTGTAATTAAGGATTCCTCCACAGTCCAGAAAGCTGGCCTTCTCTTCATGCTGATATCCTCCAGTTCTCTATGGGCCTCTCCCTCTGAGTTCCTTTTGCTTCAGACAGTCTAAAGCTGTACCCTTTAAAGCCATACTCCAGGGCTGGTCAGGGATTTACTCTTGCCCATACCTCAGAAACTGGGGGAAACCCTTGATTCATTTATTCATGCACGCAATCATTCCTGTAGGAAATATGTGTTGGTCTATAACGTATGTAGCCACTTGTAGTTGGAAGTGTTGCTGTATCAGTAGGATTGCAGTGTATTGCAGAGAGGTTCAGCTCTACAATGAGCACATAGCCAATGCAGGAATAATCTTGTCCTCCTTAACACAATTGTAGTAAATATCCATTGCCCATGAGGAGATCTGCAGGAAAAAACCCACAAAATATAATTAAAAAACATGCTGACATTGGCCTTACTAAGAACATCTAAAGGACTTCAAATCATTTAAGCACTTTTCTAACATTCACTCTTCACAGTGAACTGTGAAGAACTGCTGTGAAGAATTCCTGTAGCTAAGTGAGCCAACTTTCAACTGTGTCTCAGCTGGAAGATTCTTTGAGAACTGCCAACTTACCTCCTAAGGCTGAGGTTTGAGAATTTTATGGGTTTGTTTTTAAATAAGTTTCAGACCTTTGGCTTATTGTGGATTAACATAGCTTCACTGAAGTCTACCACCACGTCCAGATTCTCAAAGATATTTAGATATGTACAAATAAATCGCAGAATTTTAAGAAGATGAACTTTCTGTCTTTTGAAACAAGTCAGTCCTGACAGACACTATCTCTGTATTCTACTGCTTAAAAGCATATAGCAGAGAAATGCATAACCAAGTGTTTTATTAACGTGAACAGAACTACAGTGACAGAGTTGATGCCTAGGACACTTCTGTTCATGCCACTGCTCTGCTGCCAGACACCTTTCAGCAAAAGGGGCTTCCTGCAGCTACTGGTTATTCTCTTCCAGTGTGTGGCTCTGCCTTTTATTACGAGGAAAGAAATATGCACTGTAGAAGGAATAAATATACCAATTGCACGGCAGGCAAGACCACTAGATTGGGTGCACTAGATCCCTGTTGCAGTGTGGGAGGCAATGTGGATTCAGCCAGTGCTCCAGGAATTGTTCCTCTGATCTCTGCTCCAGGCGCTGGAGGTGAAGCATATACTCCTGTTTCAAGAAAAGAGAAAGTAGTTTCATTATATAATCACTCAATTCTAGTGTCAGAACAATGAACCAGCTGATGTAAGAGTGATTAATTTACCCTTTAAAATCATCCAATATAGTGAAATGGTATTGCTAGTCACCTTGCCCTAACCTAGCAATATTTAATGAATGATATTATCATGCAGATCAGTAAAGGTGCTGAGCAAGAATTTTGCAACAATATTCACAAATTAGGAACTTTGCATACACATTTCTGAATTACGTATCGACACAGCAGCCTCTGCTGGTCCTGAGGGTATAGGAGATTCTCACGGATAGGTCTGTT